CTGGGGAATTCTGGGAGTTGAAGTCCACGCATCTTCAAGCTGCCAAGGTGGAAAAACCCTGGTCCCTACCTTCTCAAAGTGCCTTTTTTTTAATTAAGGGGGGGGTCAAGGCTTTATATCGAATTACATACAGCTGATATTTGTGTTAGATGCGTCATGAAGCAACGAATCGAACAACAGAAGGCACTGATGCCAGATCACTTTCCAGAAGCGGCAAATTCATGGGTTACCTCCCTTCCGTTCTCGGAAGGGTTTGTGCCGTTCTTAACCCTTGCAAGCGTATTCGCTCCTGTTGTGCGTTTCTGCAAAGGCCGGCCTTTGCCCTTCAAAGGAGACGGCCTCGGCTCAGAGGGAAACAGGCTTTCCGAAAGCTGAGAAAGGGGGCCAGGCTGCCAGGCTGAAAAGCTAACGCCGCCTTTCCGAATGCTAATAAGGGAGCCTAAAATTTCGGGTCGCAGCCGTCTGGGCTGACCTCTTGCCGTTGGAGCGTCCCCTGCCCGCCCCGCTGGCTTGCTGGGTCGGGACTGGGGTCAGGCGGAGCAGCCGGGCAGGAGGGGCGTGCGGCAGACATCGCCCCCCTTGGCCCCCGTCTCCTCCGGCCACGAAGCTCAAAGGCGCCGGCGAGAGAAACTGGAAGAATATTCTCAGGCCCCTGGAAAGCAGAGCAAGGAAACCGGAGCAACCGATGCTGCATTAATACGGATGCATCTCTGTCTGGGCCTGCTTATCCGTCTGGCGAGCGGGACCCAGACGCCACGCCGAGTCCTCCCTTGCCTCCCTCCCCCAGCAGCTGGTCTTCCCCCAGGCCGCCTCCCTCCGCAAGCTGGAGACGCCAACAGTGTTCCCGCTGTTCTTCCTCCCAGAGATAGACTGCCTCTGTCCATGGGGGCTCCCTTTAGCTATCATGGGACACTGGGAGTGGACGCTTCACCTATTTGGGAGGCTTGCACGCCCCCTTCAAGGGCCGGGCTGGCAGCTTAGCTAGTCCCAAACAGAAGCCACCCAGTACCGGATGCTGAAGAAAGCCGAGCTTCTGGGGAGTTGAGCCCAGCTCCTGGTGACTCCAGGGGCTCATCCCTTTATTTATTGCAGTGTAGCCTAGATCCAGGGAATTTCCTGGTGGTCTCTCCTCCATATACTGTACTAACCAGAGCTGATGACACTTAGTTTCCCAGCCAGGCAAGTGGGTTTGGAAGCTAAACACCGCCCCCTGCTGCTGAAGTAGAGCAGGACTGCACTGCATCTAAAAAAGCTTGGAAATCGGATGGATGGATGGATGGATGGATGGATGGATGGATGGATGGATGGATGGATGGATGGATGGATGGATGATGAAGAGATGAGATGAGGTGAGATGATTGATACTGTCCATGGTCTAAAGTAGAGGGACCTCTCCCAAAGCGTTTTCTGGGAAGAAGGAAAGCCCCCCATCCGCAGTATGATGCTCTCCCTTCTGGATTTCGTCGGCTCCCGTGACCCCAGATGGCAGACCCCCCCCACTTCCTCCCTCCCTCCTCTCCTGGGAGACTCGCCCATCCCTTGGCCCAGAGCAAGGATCCCCTTGGAAAGGGGTCTTGGCTCCCCTCCCCAAACTCCCCACCTGACCCTCTCTGCATTTCAGCCTGCAAGATCAGCGATGGCCTGCGAACCCCCGGAAAGGTGAGCCAGCGTTCCTTGCTAGCGTCGCTTCTCAGCGCCGGGAGGGTGGCAAACGATGGGCGAGGAGACCAGGGTGGCTTGGGTGTGGGCCCGCCTTTTCGGGGTGGCTGGAGCCCCAAACAGGCCGTTCTCCATCCGGCTCAGTGTCCTCGACCCACCCAGCAATGTCCTTCTGGGCTCTGTCACTCTGCAAAGGCCTTTTTCATTGGGACCAGCAAAAAACTGCAGAATGGATGTCGGCAAAAAACTGGCACAGCAGTTTGATGGTCCAAATTCCAGCCTCCGCTGTCTGCAGTTGAAGAGGCTGCAAAGACCGGATCTGCTCCCTGGGAGGAGGAGGGGGCGTTCAGTGCACCGGGTGCACCTCGAACATGGGTTAATCCAGTCACGGGCGAAGTGTGTTGCATGCACCAGCCTTTGCACACAGACACTGGGGTTGTTCCCAGCCCACCCTGAGCAATTTTTCTGCAAATCCTATTTTATTCACTTTATTCTTCTCAGGCCCACCAGCTGCTTCAGTCACAGCCCAACTTTCCTGGGTCACGTTCCAAGTTGCAGTAAAGCAATTAAGCCAGCACAACACGAAATAGCAGCTGTGATTTTGCTCTTCCATAACTAATGGGAAGCCAGGAACCACCTTCTGACAAGGTGGTTGTGTAGAAATCCTTGTGCTCGGTGAGATGCTCACTGACTGAGAAACGTGGATGCGTGTCCTTGTAATACAGTAACACCATTTTTAAAAAAATTTCAGCTGTGTTGGTGGCCGTCAGCAAAGCTTCTCTTCCTGGTATTTCTGGTGAGTACCAAAACTGTCAAAAGATAAACACGGTGATATCCGTGTCGTTTTGCTTGCTAATGATACAGAAGAAGTTTGTGCTGCTTTTTCCCCAACTTTCCAGTCTAGCTGACAGCCCTGAGATCTCCTAGTGGTCTCCCATCCAAGGACTAACCAGTCCTACCCTTAGTTGGCTTCCCACCCAGGGAAGATCAGCGGCTGCTGCAGTCCACTGAAACGTTGGCAATAGATAAATAAAGTACATTTTCTTGCTAACTCTATAGGCTCCCTTACACTATGATTTAAGACGATCATTGTTCCCTGCTCTGCTGCAGCAAAACAAGAAAATTCTTTTACGTGGCTCTTGAACTTTCAGGGGGGGCAGAGCAACTGTTCCATTTCCACCCCCTCAAAGGCTCTTTGAGTCCCCCCATCTGTGTGTGCGTAGGGGTCAAAAAAGTCAATATGGCAGCTGTGATTAAAGCCCTGCTTCTTTTTTATATGCATCACGTGGTATGATTGATGCACACAAAAAAGGGACAGGGTCATATTCACTGGTCGTGGCCACCATCTCGACTTTTTTGACCGAGCGGTGGGCATCTATGCTTGCTTCCTTGCTTATGTGCTCCCCCCACCCCACCCCCCCATGGTCAAAAATAACAGTAAGCCACTTACATTTTTCCTTACGGGACCAGGTTTAAAATTCATATAAATGATAGTTTTCAAATTGCTAATGGCACAATGTTACCAGCCACGATACAGCCACCCTGCCCTGAATGCTCAACCGACGCCGGGTGAAATGTCTTGGGGAGCCCAGCCAACACGCTTGATTTGGGGGGACGTTGCTCATCACGGACCACTTCCCTCTGCCCCAGGTTCTGCCTGTCCCTGGTGCTTCTCCTGGTCCTGCTGGCGCTGCTGGGCTGCGGGTTCCAGTGCTGGCTGCCGAGGCGGAGGCCCCGGGCCGCCCAGCGCTCGCTCGTGGTGTTTGCTGTGGGAGACCCCGAGTCGGTTCCCGGTGAGTTTCAAGTCCAGGTGCTGGAGGAGAGCTGTCATGGCTGAGTTGGGGGCCTGGGTGGCAGAGAGGTCCAAAAAGTCAAGATGGTGGCCATGGAAGCCCCCACCTGTTTTTGTGCAAATTGCATGCTGGATGGGAGGTCCGGGCAGAGCAAGAACCTGTGCTTGGGAGATCTTGGAGGTGCCCTTCGGCGGTGGACAGACTGGCACGGCTGCCATGGGTCGGGCTCTTCTCAGAAAGAAGTCAGTGCTCCTAAGGGCTCACGGATGGACGCCGCCCCTGCAACCAAGGCTTGCTCTGAAGCGCTCCCTGGCTAAGCTTAATACTCGCTGCTCCCCTTGAGTATTCTGGACCACGTGCAAAGGAAGATCATCTTTGGATCCTGCGTTGGCAGGCTAGCTCTGCAGCTCCATCAAGGCAAGAAGATCAGGAGATCATCTGCCAGCAAAGATCACCTGCCAGGTTGACTTAGACCAGCGTTTCTCAACCTTGGCATCTTTAAGATGTGTGGACTTCAATGGCTGGCTGGGGGATTCTGGGAGTTGAAGGTTGAGAAACACTGACTTGGACAACGGCCTTGCTGCAAATGTTAACAAGCTTTTTGGGGTGGGGTGGGGTGGGGTGGGGTGGGG